GGTCCGTGGTCTCACCTTTTGGAATCAGTTTCAAAGACAAACTTGGTTTGGTTCTTACGTTTCATTTTAGGTGTGTGCCCACGGACGAAAGAAATGGGCCTCTAGCGCTGGCAAGGGGAGCACAGCCAGCCACAGTGGAGAGCATTTTCTATTTTCCGCTGTGGGATGTTGGAGCAGCCAGGGTTCACAGCAGCGGTACTCTGTATACTGTTGGCTGTTGCTGTTCTGGCCCGCCCCGCCACAGCTGCCAGCTTGCGCTACCAACACGACCTGTCCAACCACCACCAGCAGCAGCAGCAGCAGCAGGGGCCAACTCGGAACAACAGCCGATGATGATGGTCAACTTCGCCTTGTCAGGGTGTGCCAAGTACACAGCACAACCACGACCACAACAGCCAACAGCAGAAGGCACTGCGACTATGTCTCCACGGGCGCAGCTTTGGCCGCTGCGCGTGACCACTCCGTCGTTGACGTGGAGGCCGGTCGATACTTCGAGTCGACCGTCCGCGTTCGCGCCAACAATGTCACTCTCAGGTACGCGCAGCCCCCAGTGCGATTAGCCCTTCGTAGCCCACCGTCGGACCACAGCCAAATCAAAACATAGAGTTGACCTCGGATGTGCGGGGCAGGGCCGTGGGAGGAGAGGTCGTGCTCGATCTGGCAGGTGGATCTCTCGTGACGGAAGCCGCACAGTTCACCATTGACGGGCGTCTTTCCCTCGTCGATGGAGGTCCCTCCTCCCAAGTCCACAATGGCCTCTTCTTCCAGTCGCTGAGCTTTGTGTGTGTGTGTGGCGCGCGGGGGATCAATCAGGCATCGAGGTGGGTGCTGGGGGAGTGCTGCAACAGCAAGGCAAGCTGCAGGTGAGCGTGCGGGCCTTCCTGGCTGACGGCGTGCGGCTGGCCTCGGGCGCCTCGTGGCTCCAACTCGGCAGCGCCACCATCTCGGCCGGCCAGGCGGGCCACGACCGCGACTTCTCCCTCAGTACGCGCCCCCCGCCGCCTTCATCATTGTGCAAGTGTCGAGTAGGAGCCAACAATACCCCATTGTTGTTCTTGATTTCTTCTTCTGCGCAACAACAGACAACGGTGTGCTGGTGGAGGCCAATGCGTCGTGGCACCAGACAGGCCCGTTGACAGTTCTTGCACATGGCTCCATTGGTACGTGCTCTACCCCCCCACCACAAATCATTTTGTCATCTGGAAATCGGAATCTAATCTCCCATCATCGTAAAATGGCACAATAGGCGTGTTCCTTTCGTTGGGAGGTCGGTGGGAGCAGAGCGGTCCGGCGAGCCTCACCATCGTCGGTCAAGGCGACTCACAGAGCAGAGGCACGTCATGACCTTTCTTGTGTGCGTGTTTTTTCCCTTGTAAGATCTCAAAGAAAGCGCTGAACAACACACAACAGGAGATCTTGGGACGGTGTTTGGCGAGGCAGTGCGCCTGGGGCGTGACGCCACCTGGCTCCAAACAGGGTCGGTGTCGGTCACAGCGACCAACGCGTCGTCGGCCGTCTTCCTGCCCACAGGATCGACATGATGGCTGCAGGAGGCCGACACCAACATGACGCTAGACTCCACCCAAGGTACCGCCGCTCACTCGACTACCGCCCCCCCCCACAAAGCATTGCCGTGTGACACTGCCTGCGCGTTGCTGCTAACCGACCAGCTCCGTGTGTGGGCTTGTTTTGTACTCGTTCAGTGGGCGTGCGGATGGTCGGTGGCGAGTGGCACCAGGGCGGTCGCACGAAAATCACCCTCACTTGTTCTGATGACGATGATGATGATGATGACCAGCTTCGCTTTCATCTTCGAGGCGCCAACGCGGACAGGTGGGGCCTGAGTCATCTGCGCCTGACCCCATCCGGCTGCACAGGTAGGCTCTCTCTCTCTCTCTCCCTCCCTGGCATTCTACCCCACCATTCATGAAGTCGATGACGCTGATGGTGTTCGATTGCTTGCTAGGGGTGCTGGGAGCTTCGGCGACTCTGGTGTCACGGTGGAGCCAATCGGGTGCCCTGGACGTGACCCTGTTGGGCGCCTCTGCCGTCGGCACGTTGCCTTGCCTCCCCCGACCCTCTGTGACTGACTGCGGGCTGACGAAAAGAAGTTGTGTGTGTGTGTGTGTGTGTGTGTGTGTGTGTGTCGCGCCGCTACTGCGCAGGTGTGAATGGAGCGCAGCCCAAACGCCAGCACGCTGCAGGAGACTACGACATGGACACTGCCCACAATGACGACGCCGACTTTGCTAAACTGGCGGCCTTAGTGTCGGACGTGGTCCAGGTGGTGCACACCGTGGCAGCACCGCCGCCGCCCGATGACCCGGCGCGCGTGGAGCTGTTCAAGCGCCTGTTCTCGAACGGCCACGCGCTCGAAGCCATCAGCGCTCAGGGCGGCGTGTACCGCCTCTGTCCCGGTTCGCTGGTGCCTGATAGCGCCGACGACTGGAGCGATGACGACGACGGCGGCGGTGACCAGGAGATCGCCGAAGAGCAGCACATCGTACGCCTCCGTGCTGCCGCGCTTGCTGCCGGCGGGTCCGGTGACGAGATGACGGCCTATCGGCTGCGGGGCCTTCGCGTCGAGGGCGCGCCGTGCGTGCACGCCAAGCTCCGCCGTCTTCGCCGACAACACTCGGTCAGGCGCGCCGACGGCGCTGGGGCTGGTGGTGGCGATCTCGATGATGGGAGGAGCTCCGCCGGCGACCGAGCACACCGCAGCCTGCCGGCCAGCAGGTTCAACCGGGGGTCTCGACTGGTGTTGCTACTGCGGTTGGCGTTCAAGGATCAGCTCGACTACCTCACCCCGCTGACCCAGCTTGGCGTCATTTCGCAAGTCTTGACCGAGTTCTATAATCGCGTCAGCGGCGGCCGCCTGGTGATGACGGTGCGATTTGACGCCGGCTGCGTCTACGAGGTCTCCTACGATAAGACCAGCGTCGATAGCGGCACGGTCGGTCTCGGTGAGATGCACGCGGACGCGAGGAGGGCAGCGGCCGCGCACAGCAACCCGGCCTGCCGGGTCAGCGAGGCACAGTTTGATTACGACTACCAACACCACGTGCTGGCCGTGCCCTCGTCCCAGGTGCCCTTCTCGGGTGTCGCCGGCGTTCCGGGCGTTGGCGTCTGGTTGAACGGCGTCACCTCTTCGTACGTGGTGGTGCACGAGATGGGCCACAACATGGGCCTGAACCACGCGAACCTGGCCGAGACACCGACCTTTGCGGCCTGGCGCGAGTACGCCAACGTCTACGACATCATGGGCAGCGCCGTAATGATAGCGTCGGAGAAGAGCTGCTTCATGGCGGGGTACCAGGACGGCATCGGTTGGCTGGCACCCAACAACAAGGTCACCTACCCGACCGACGCCTACGCCACGGGCGCCGGCACTCCGGCGTGGGTGGCCGACTACCGGCTGGCGGGCGTCGAGAGCTCCAACGGGCCAGACGTGCTCGAGACGGTGCGGATCCCGATGGCGATGGGCACCTACGCCCAGCGCAGCAGCTGGCTCTACCTCAACTGGTTCTCGCAGGCGACGGGCGTCTTGCGGCGCGGCGCGATGATGACCGAGGAGAGCTTCGAAGTCGGGTGGGACGGCGCCTCGTACAGCATGCACCGTTTCGAGGGGGGCCTGCTGTATGACACGGCGCCCGGCACGGTCTCGCTGCGCGACGCGCTGGTGAACGCGTCAGCGCCGCTGGTCTACGGCCTCGGCGGGCGCGCGCCGGTGCTGATCGAGGTAACCAGCTCTTCGTCGTCGGTGACGCAGCTGCCGGTGCGCGTGACCCGGCTGCGGCCGAACGGAGAGCGCATGGAGGGGCGAGGCTGCACGCGCGCGGGCGGGTGCGAGCCGTGGGTGGACTCGCTGCCGGTGCAGGCCTGCAACACGGCGGTCGAGTACGCCACCGCGCGCGTGGTGCTGCGCGTGGCGGCGGCCGCAGCGGTGGCGCAGGCGGTGCTGGTCGAAGTGAGCGGGTGCGCGGCGACCGAGGTGGGCGTCTTCCACACACAGCCCCCCGTGGGCCAGCTGCTCTACGGGAGTCCGCCGCGCGTGGGGGCCTACGACGCGACGGCGGCGCTCAGCAGCGCCGACCAGCGGATCGAGGCGGGCGTGGGCGCGCGCGAACCGCTGTGGGTGGCGGCGAGCACGGAGCTCACGGGCAGCCTAGCGCGCTGTCGGTCGGGCACGCCGCTGCGGGTGTCGCTGACGTGCGGCAGCGCAGTCCCCAACACGCGGCGCCGGCTGACCATCATCGGAGGCGGACCGTCCAGCTTCGCGCTGCCCGGCGACGATTTCGAGTTCGTCGGCGCGGGGACCTGGATCAAGTACTGGCACCCGTACGGCATGGAGCAGCGGCTGTCCTACGATTCCTCCGCATCCATCTGGCGGATGCCCGCGTACAGCATGTTCGCCGACAACGAACTGCTGGGCGAATGGCAGCAGCCGCTGCCGAGGAGCGTGCAGAGCGCGAACCCGATCGAGTGGGACGGCAGGTCGCTGTTCCCGGGCGAGGCGGCGCTGGCCGTGCGGCACACGTGCCCGCGCGGCATGTGGTCGCCGGCGACGGACCAGTGCGCGGCGTGCCCCGATTACATGGACACCGACCGCTCGGGCGCCACGTCAGCGGCTCAATGCCGGTGTCGGCCGGGCTACGTGGTCGGCAGCGGCAACGGCAGCGACGGCGACGGGTGCCAACCGTGCCCGGCCGGCACCTGGAGCCACGACGGATCGTGCGTGGCGTGCGCCGAAGGCCTGACTAGCCAGCCGGCCAGCCCGCTGCGGAGTTACTGCTACAACCCGGCCGGCGACAAGACCTGCCGGCGGCTGTATATCACGGGTCTCAGTACAGAGTGGTACCCCGACGGCGTGCTCGACGGT